ACATCACACCATCACCCATTAACTTCACTATCAACATCACGCACCATAACATCACACCATGACTCATTATCATCACTATCACCATTACACACCATAACATCACACCATTACTCATTACCATCACTATCACTTCATCACGCACCATAAAATCACACCATCACCCATTAACTTCACTACCATAACATCACTCCATCACCCATTAACTTCACTATCACCATCACGCACTATAACATCACACCATGACTCATTATCATCACTATCACCATCACGCACCATAACATCACACCATGACTCATTATCATCACTATCACCACGCACCATAACATCACTCCATCTCCATTAACTTCACTATCACCATCACTCACCATAACATCACACCATCACCCATTAACTTCACCATCAACATCACGCACCATAACATCACACCATGACTCATTATGATCACCATCACTATCACGCACCATAACATCACTCCATCACCCATTAACTTCACTATCACCATCACGCACCATAATATCACACCATCACCCATTAACTTCACTACCATAACATCACACCATGACTCATCATCATCACTATCACCATCACGCACCATAACACACCATGACTCATTATCATCCCTATCATCATCACGCACCATAACATCACTCCATCATCTATTAACTTCACTATCACCATCACGCACCATAATATCACACCATCACCCATTAACTTCACTACCATAACATCACACCATGACTCATTATCATCGCTATCACCATCACGCACCATAACATCACTTCATCACCCATTAACTTCACTATCACCATCACTCACCATAACATCACACCGTGACTCATTATCATCACTATCACCATCACACACCATAACATCACTCCATCATCCATTACCTTCACTATCACCATCACGCACCATAACATCACTCCATCACCCATTAACTTCAGTACCATAACATCACACCATGACTCATTATCATCACTATCACCATCACGCACCATAACATCACTTCATCACCCATTATCTTCACTATCACCATCACGCACCATAACATCACACCGTGACTCATTATCATCACTATCACCATCATGCACCATAACATCACTCCATCATCCATTACCTTCACTATCACCAACGCGCACCATAACATCACTCCATCACCCATTAACTTCACTACCATAACATCACACCATGACTCATTATCATCACTATCATCATGACGCACCATAGCATCACATCATGACTCACTATCATCACTATCACCATCACGCACCATAACATCACACCATGACTCACATTATTATCACTATCACCACGCACCATAACATCACTCCATCACCCATTAACTTCACTATCACCATCACGCACCATAACATCACACATGACTCACTATCATCACTATCACCATCACCCACCAACATCACTCCATCATCCATTGACTTCACTATTACCATCACGCACCATAACATCACACCATCACCCATTAACTTCACTATCACCATCACGCACCATAATATCACACCATGACTCATTATCATCACTATCACCATCACGCACCATAACATCACACCATCACCCATTATCATCACTATCACCATCACGCACCATAACATCACACCATGACTCACATTATCATCACTATCACCACGCACCATAACGTCACTCCATCTCCATTAACTTCACTATCACCATCACTCACCAAAACATCACACCATCACCCATGCTTCACTATCACCTCACGCACCATAACATCACACCATGACTCATATCATCACAATCACCATCACGCACCATAACATCACTCCATCATCAAAACTTCACTATCACCATCACGCACCATAACATCACTCCATCACCCATTAACTTCACTACCATAACATCACGCGACTCATTATCATCCTATCACCATCACGCACCATAACATCACTTCATCACCGTATCTTCACTATCACCATCACGCACCATAACATCACACCATCATTATCATCATCACTCATATAACATCACTCCATCACCCATTAACTTCACTATCACCATCACGCACCATAACATCACACCATGACCATAACATCATTCATTATCATCACTATCACCACGCACCATAACATCACTCCATCACCCATTAACTTCACTATCACCATCACTCACCATAACATCACTCCATCACCCATTAACTTCACTATCACCATCACTCACCATAACATCACTCCATCACCCATTAACTTCACTATCACCATCACTTACCATAACATCACTCCATCACCCATTAACTTCACTATCACCATCACTCACCATAACATCACTCCATCACCCATTAACTTCACTATCACCATCACTTACCATAACATCACTCCATCACCCATGAACTTCACTATCACCATCACTCACCATAACATCACTCCATCACCCATTAACTTCACTATCACCATCACTCACCATAACATCACTCCATCACCCATGAACTTCACTATCACCATCACTCACCATAACATCACACCATCACTGGTTCCACCCTAACTAGCTTCTTTAATGATCAATGTCATTTAGCTGATAATTGTTTCAGTAATTACTGTAAAATACTTATAATGGACTGTGATAACAGAAGTGTTCCTGATAACAGAGGCGATAAAATGTAAGAGAGAAAGCGAAAACGGTCAGCCAGTGAGTCAGGCGAGGTAAAACGGAGGAGGGCTGAACCTGAGGGAGAGACGACCTGTGTGTCAGAGCTCATAACAAGTATTATACTTGATGAGCGCGGTCAACACTACGTCACCCTCGATAGTTATGAGAAATTCATTTCACAAGTGGTTTTGAAAACTGATTCTGTGAAGTGTTTTACCTTCGAGAATTTAGTTGGTTAACATCTTATTAACCTAAGTAATGTCAAGCCGGGCAAAATTACTCAGGATATAAAATATTGTAGACAATTAAAAAGGTCTTATATGTTACCACTAACTGTAAATGCCGAATACACTTTTGTTGACAAAGATGGGCGTAATTTTAAACAATTTTCACATAGATTGTTTATGGGAGAAATTCCCCTTATGGTCGGGTCATTTGTGTGTCCAACACGACGTATGAACGACGATGAAAAGATGTTGGCTGGGGAGCTGCCAGGTGAACCCGGTGGCTATTTTATTATTGATGGCCAAGAAAAAATTATTTTGAATAGAAACGTGATCCGGAAAAATACAAACATGGTAACCAGATGTTTGGGAGTTAAGGCCAAGCGATACATTTCCAAAAATGCAATATTTAGTACATCGATAGGCAGAATTGGATTTTAAACAACACTTTACGTAACAAGGCATAATACAATAGACGCGTCGATATCGGCAGGTTACGGCTGTGATATTTATGGCCCACTATAAACTTTATTTGCTGCCATGGGCTTTGGTTCACGTAAACCCAAGCGCACCCCGTAATATGGAGATGAAGATCCTACCACTGAAGAAGAGGAATATGACGAAGTAGAAATAAGTGCCTTGAAAAAATTATTTAAGAAAGTCATGCTTAAAGGATGCAAAGACGTGGAGGAAAATGTCCTCCTGGTGGACAAACTTTTCGAATGGGGAGACATCGAGGAGTCCCAGAAATTACTCCAAAAAAAAATGAAGCACAGCAAATGGGCAAAAGCAAATATGAGAGTTATTCTGAAAACGACATTACTGCCCCACATTGGTGAATCAATGAAAACAAAGGGGATGTTTCTCTCCCTTATGGTAAATCAACTGCTGATGACTCTCTGTGGCAAAACACACTATGATGAGGCCCTGCATGTGGCCAACAGAAATGTGTTAACCTCCGGGGTGTTGATGCAGCATCTTTATGAACAAACACTCAAGTCGGTCTTCGACAAAACCGAAATGACTCTGAACAAATTTTACGAGACGGAGAGGCAAGAGTGGATTGAAGAGCGGGTGGCTGGCCCTATTCCTAAACATATGGAATTAGCCAAAAATATTATACATCAAATGTTACCAGGCGTTCTCGTCCAGAAAACTGGCGAGAATAACACGTATGTTGCTGAAGGAGTAAAACAGAAATTAGAATTACAAGACTTTTGTAAAATTTTTAAGTTCCATGACGATAGCATCCGAAGGGCGCTCGAAACCGCCATAAAAACTGGTGTTTGGGGTGAAAATCAAAACGCAATGAAGGGCGTTACCCATAACTTAGAAAGAGTCAATTATATGTAATACTTATCCCAACTGCGCGAGGTGAACGGAGAAGACAAACTCCTGATTGGTGACGGATCAAAACCTTAGGAGTTACGCTTGGATTCAGTAGGTTTTATTTGCCCCTTCGAGACGCCAGATAATGAAAAGGTCGGATTAACGGAGCATCTAACTACAGGTGCAATAATCTCACCCAAAGAAAACCCTGAAATAATTCTGAAAACCTTCAAATATTTAAAAGTTAATTTGTTCGACGTTAATGAGTGCCCCAAATGTGACAAACACGGTAAAATATTTTTGAATGGGGTCTGGATTGGTAACCTGCTCGGCCCCAAGGAGGAGGTGATTACCATGTTGGTAAATTTCCGCCGAACTATGAGGATGCACTTCGGCCTCTGGCGTAAAAATAATGATCTCCACATAAGTTGTGATGAGGGTCGGATCTTGCGTCCCGTACTGGTGGTGAAGAACAGGTAAATTGTTCTTTCAAAAACAGATTTAGAAAATTTGAATTTAAACAAATGTAATTTGGATTACTTGCGAAAAAAGGGGATCGTGGATTATATTGATGGCGGTGAAAATTCTTGGGTTATTATTGCTGAAAAGCTGGAAGATCTCACCCCAACCGGACCCGCCTTTGATTACTGCGAACTGGACCCAATCCTTAGGCACGGTCTCACAGCAGCGGCTACCCCCTTATTTGACCTCAACTAATGTACAAGAACTATTGGGTCGTGTAAAATGCAGAAACAAGCTATGGGCGTTCCGGTAAAAAGTTAAGTTCTCACTAATGAAAGTAATTATTTCGTCTTGAGGAATCCGGAGATGCCCCTAGTTTATCCGGCCGAAATGCGACGCCTCCCCAATTTTCAATATCTATACTCCGGCCAGGTTATGAACGTCGCTGTCATGCCGATCTTTGGCTACAACCAAGAGGACGGCCTTGTGTTTAGTCAAGGGGCAATCGACAGAGGAGCGTTCACTAGTTTGCATTATTATACATACAGAAAAGTCTGGGACAGCAATGAAGACGGCGAAGTAAAATTGGCACAACGCGGCACAGTTGTGTCCGAAGGCGATATTGTGATTCTGTGTTCAAAATCTGACTCTGTCAAAATCCCCAAAGGTAGGAAACCCGGCAAAATTGTGAGCACGTACTTTGCTTGTTTACCTGATGGGAAAATGACGTACGAGGTCAGAGTGGAAGTGACCTTGCACCCTGAAGTTGGCGATAAATTCGCTCCGCTTTGTGGTCAAAAAGGTGTGATATGCGCTATCATACCCGACGAACAGTTACCCCGGACGGCAGACGGACTTGTGCCGGATATTTTTATGAACCCTCATGGCTTTATTGACCGTCAAACTGTTAGTTTTCATGTAGAGGGAATGTTGGGGTTGTTGGCTAAGAAAACAGGCTGTCAAATTGAAGTGAAAAAGAACACGCCCTATTTAAAGCTGGTAACAGACGCGGGCATAGAATCGTGTTAAAGATTCTACACGCCTGAAGGGCAGGACTTGGGAGAGGTTTTCTGTGCCCCAATATTTTTTCAACGCCTTAAGCATCTGGCGGGACCAAAATGTAATGCAAGGCACAACGGTCTTGTAGATTAGATGACAAGACAGCCTACACAAGGCCTGGCCAAGGGAGGCGGGCTGCGTCTGGGGGAAATGGAGGTAGCTGCCATATTGACTCATGGCGCTACTGACTATGTTAAGCAGTGGCTCTACAACCAGAGCGACGGAGTCCTCGTCCCCTATTGTAACAGCTGCAGACGCCAAGCAGAATAAATTGGGGACTATGTATTCTGTAAAATTTGTCTGAATACCGAAAACTTAATAAGAAGAAAGATGACCCACGCTTACCTGTGCATGGAATCTGCGCTCAACGCGGGAAAAATTAAAATTACTTAATATGGAGAAGACAACCAACAGCACCAGCCTGAGTTCCCCGGTCTTGACGATTTGATGTCATCGTCATCGTCATCGCCGTCGCCACCGCCAGAGGATAAGGAAGATGAGATGTAAAACCTTTTGAAGTTTAAGAACCTCCACGAGAACACTTAACGGTACCGGCAATTTTTCCTTGTTGGGTAAAAGAAGTTTGAGCGCCACCAACAGTTAACACGAGTGAAGGAGAGCAGAAAAGATCATAGGAACAGCCTCAAGCCTTACTGAACAGTGTCTTTTTCTTTTGTCTATTTAAACAACATCAATTAATCTTATAAATCAAATTTTCCCTCAAGAAATTTTGTTTTTCATGTTTTATTTCCTCTCTATGGCCACTTCTCACTCTGGTTTGTAATACCCGGTGTTGCCCGGGTTTGTTTTTGAGGAGCAAGAGGGTTGGGTTGGGTTGGGTTGGGTTGGGTAATTTACTAAACATGAAATGACTGAATAAATTTACTTTTTTTGTGTGTAGTAAATAGAGGAATGTTTTCAACACAAGTGACGTCATCATTGTTAATCAGTTGAGACACCTGGCTATAAGATAAACCCAAAGATGTTATACTCAGTACAGAAAGGTAGTTAAATATCTGATTGGTGTCGAACAGAATACCAGCATTAACCTGTGACTTACTGAGGTAGGGCTCCCCGCAGTTCAGGATGTTACAGTGAGGGAGAGTCCTACACCAGATATAGAGGAACCATTTTCTGTTGTTTACGAACTGTGTAGAAGAGATAACACACTAGGTTATAGGTTCTTGAGCCAGACTAAGCCAGCTGGTGAACAAAGCACTGAACCTCTTATTGTGATACCGTAGCACATCATGTTTACTTGATTGTTTATCCCCGACTACACCCGTCATATACTAATATTTATTATGGATTAAGTCAGGAAATGTGGCTAGCAGCCGATACAGCAACACAGAGCTACTAACCCGGGGCAATACCAACGGGCATATCACAACAGCCATCGTCCGAGGTGTCTTATTGTTTCACACAGTGTGGATAAATTCTTGTCTTTAACCGTGTAAAGCAACCTGGCCCAGATGAACACCCAGGGTGGCATCTACACTTGGCCAGTATACATCCAGGGTATATAGTGGCCAGGGGTATAGCTTGGCCTTTTACACTGGCCATATCACCTCCTACAGTTCACGTTACCCAGTCACTAATGCATTAAGTTTCAATATTTATCATTTAATGCTATTTCCTCATTTCTTTCGTATTAGTGAGAAATAGTTGAACTATTTTTATCGTGTGTCTGTATTTTTTGCTAAATATTGAAAACGTTAAGTAAATAGAAGACAATATCCCCCCCCCTAATTTATTTATTTAATTTATTTTTTTTTGGGGGGGGGGGTCAATTTTATTAACCAGACGTCCCAACACTTAAAAAATATTCAAGAACAGTTTAGTGGAAGAATAAGTTTATAAATTTTTGCAGTACAGTTTCGACTCTTTTTGTGACGTGTCAGTCCACGTAACACACACACACCTGAGACACGCATAGAAAAGTGGACGCACCAAGTACATGACACATATACTGGGGTATGGACATTTATATGGTGAGAGCCTGCCTGCCTGCCTGCCTGCCTGCCTGCCTGCCTGCCTGCCTGCATGAATGAATGACAAGTGTACAAATTCAACCAGCAAATGGATTTAATATTTCGCAAATACACCATCGAGTCTTTCAATATCCAGAGGGAAAGGATTCTTGCTTATCCCCAAATATCTCTCTCTCTCTCTCTCTCTCTCTCTCTCTCTCTCTCTCTCATCCCCCCCATGCTGGTGGACACATGTGACTCGGGCATCACGTGGTGGGCACTACTAGCTCTGCCCCCCCCCTCCGAGTCAACTGACCAAAGACAAGAACACCAACAGCTGCCGAGGGAAAAGAAGAAAGAACAAAAAACTCCGTAATAGAAGACAATATACAGGTATTTTCCTATATTTTTGTCCTATTTTATTTTTATTTTCTTCCGATTCTCACTGTTTTAGAGGTGATGGGTTAGGTTAGGTTAGGTTAGGATGGGTTAGGTTAGGTTAGGTTTGGTTAGGTTATGGGTTTGCGTTTTTCCTGCAGCTGGGGACAGAGGTAATTCAGCCCCTTCCTTCCTTCCTCCCTTCCTTCCTTCCTTCCTTCCTTCCTTCCTTCCTTCCTTCCTTCCTTCCTTCCTTCGTTCCTTCCTTCCTTCCTACCCTGCCAGGACTTACAGTAATACAACATTGACGTCACGGGTTCACGCTGCTTCTATTTCTGCAGCTTTTGTATGTAAATTATCCTGAGATACTTACAGAATAGGAGGGGAGGTGAGGAGTTGGTGAAGGGGAGGTGATTGGGAGGGGGAGGAGAAGGGAAAGGGTGAAGGGGGAATGGACGGTGAATAGGCAACATCTGGGGAAAGTATGGCTTATGGCAGATATGAACAAGCACTCACGCACGCACGCACCCTCATCCTCAACTCGTTCCTACCATTTTCAGTTGTTCCAGCCAACCAACCAACCAACCAAACCAGCCAGCCAGCCAGTCGTCGGAAGCAGCCAAGTATAGAGGGTGCAGAGCTGAAGGCAGGTGGTGGTGGACGCAGGCAATACTTCACTGCTCCTCACAGGTCATTTCCTGCCTCGTTGACCGCCTCCAGCATGCATCACCGACTCGCTCAATACTTGGGTGATTAAGATCCCATGCAGAGTGTTGCAATGCACCCTCTTCAGACCCACCCATTAGCGTTCATTGCACCGTTTAGCCAGCGGGGCCTGACGGATGCACTCATCTGGGGGCCGGGGGAGGGGGGCAAATCTGTTTGTCCTCTATGTGTTGTGGCATGATTCATGACACAGGTAAGTTCATGACACAACTAAGGACATGACACAGGTGAGGCCATGACGCAGGTAAAAGCATGACACAGGTAAGGGCATGACGCAGGTAAGGGCATGACGCAAGTAAGGGCATGACACAGGTAAAGGCATGACACAGGTAAGGGCATGACATAGGTAAAGGCATGACACAGGTAAGGGCATGACAGTAAGAGCATGACACAGGTAATGGCATGACACAGGTAAGGGCATGACACAGGTAATAGCATGACACAGGTAAGGGCATGACACAGGTAATGGCATGACACAGGTAAGGGCATGACACAGGTAAGAGTCAAGAATTCGTGAAATAGTCGGGCCGAAGGTGTAAGCAGGCTGTTACTTGGCGGCGAGTCACTGTGCCGAACCTCCCTCACCAAAACACGCATTACTTGGACGACCTAACAACCACTGCGAGGTTTATACGTTTTCATTGGGAGTAATTAACCAGATTATACTTGAAAAACAAACCTCAATAGACGTTACTGACTACAATATTATCTGGTGAATATAACTTCTAACAGTGGTAGTTTGAGGTAATGAACGGTTGCCTCTCACCTGCCCATCATGACTCTGCCTTCCCCCACCAGTAAGAGACGAAACCTCATCAGTAACATCGGCTCTAAAAATCTTCTTCTTGTATCTCATGAGTGGAGTCTTGACCTGAATCAATCTACATCATACTGGCTTTTGACGGCTTGATGGCGGTGGGTGGGGGAGGGGGTGGGGGGGTACGGCACAGTGTCTCTAAGTAAGGGCACAGGAGCCTTTATCACGAATTATTGACTCCGATTTTACATGACATAACTAGGGACATGGTAACTAGGGCATGACACTTCAGGACATGGCATAACTAGGGGCATGACAACTAGGGGCATGACACAACTAGGGACATGGCATAACTAGGGGCATGACTTGGGTACACACGTCGAGGGAGGGAGGAAGGGAGGGAAGAAGGATAGAGAGAAGGGGGAGGGACGAAGGAAAGATGAACGTAGGGCAGAAATGACGGAAGGAGGGGACGGAAGGATGGTGGAGGAAAGGATGGAGGGAAGGGAGGGAAGGATGAGGGAGGGGTGGGAAGGATAGAGGGAGGGAGGGAGGGGAGGGAGGGAGGGAGGGAGGGAAGGATGGAGGGAGGTAGGGAAGAAAGGAAGGAAGGATGGATGGAGGGAGAGGAGGGAAGGATAGAGGGAGGGGAGGGAGAGATGGAAGAAAAGACGGAAGGATGGAGGGAGGGAGGAAGGGGCGTAACTGTACCAAACGGACTCTTCTGTTCAGATCACGTGGACAAGATTTCTAACCCATCACGTGAGTTGGATGATATATATACATGAACAATATTACCAACAATAACAACAACAACAATATTCAGTGATTTTTTTAAGTTCCTTGCTTAAAGTTGAGTTAGGTTAGGTTGGATTAAGTTAAGTTAGATTAAGTTAAGTTAGGTTACATTAAGTTAAGTTAGGTTAGATCAAGTTAAATTAGCTTAGGTCAGGTTCGATTAATTTAGGTTAAATTAGATTAAGTTAAGTTAGGTTAAGTAAGCACACAGGTGGATAATCTTAAGGTCAAATAATCTAAGGAGACTTATCTTCAGGTGACCTCACTGCTTCTCCAATTACTATTACACATAAATGGCTTCTTTAGAGGAAGTCAAATTCGTCCCAGAGAATACAAAGATG